ATCTGTCAATCAGACTTGATGTGTTTAGCACCTTTTGGGCAAAATAACAAATACAAGGTGTTAAGATTGCAGCATAATCATGTGACCAAACTACAGCCATAAATACAATAATTAAAGAGTCTGCACTGAAAAGTTATCAGATAAGATTAACTGCAATTTGTTTCTTCTACAGTTGAAACCAGAAGTTTACATACACTATATAAAAAGAAAAAATGATTTTTTCTCACTGTCTGACATGAAATCAGACAACCACTTTTCCTGTTTTAGGTCTGTTAGGAATACCAAAATTATTTATTTGCTAAATGCCAGAATAATGCAAGAACGATATTTTTAAACTATTTTCATTACTTTCTTCAAAGTCAGAAGTTTATATACACTAAGATTACGATGCCTTTAAATAATTTTGGAAAGCCCGGATGATGTCATCTAACAGCCAGCAGGGGGCGACTTAAACCTGCGTCCTCTCTAGCAGCCAGCGGGGGCGACTTAACCTGCGTCCTCTCCAGCGGCCAGCAGGGGCGACTTAAACCTGCGTCCTCTCTAGCAGCAGCAGGGGGCGCCTTAAACCTGCGTCCTCTCCAGCGGCCAGCAGGGGGCGCCTTAAAACCTGCGTCCTCTCTAGCAGCCAGCAGGGGGCGCCTTAAACCTGCGTCCTCCTAGCGGCCAGCAGGGGGCGCCTTAAACCTGCGTCCTCTCTAGCAGCCAGCAGGGGCGACTTAAACCTGCGTCCTCTCTAGCAGCCAGCAGGGCGACTTAAACCTGCGTCCTCTCTAGCAGCCAGCAGGGGGCGACTTAAACCTACGTCCTCTCCAGCGGCCAGCAGGGGGCGCCTTAAACCTGCGTCCTCTCTAGCGGCCAGCAGGGGGCGACTTAAACCTGCGTCCTCTCCAGCGGCCAGCAGGGGGCGCCTTAAACCTGCGTCCTCTCTAGCAGCCAGCAGGGGGCGCCTTAAACCTGCGTCTCTCTAGCAGCCAGCAGGGGGCGACTTAAACCTGCGTCCTCGACCCAGCGGCTGCAGAAAGAAGTGTGATTGTATAGAAGTCTGTGAGAAAATGTTTCTACTTGTCAGCTGATTTATTCCCTCAGTAAACACTTTCCTGATGGTTTCTGGTCTCAGTCGCTAGTTTCAAGTCTTCTTCAACACAGCATGATGTTCATTTAGTAAATTATGGTCCCATTTAGAGGAACAGAGACCAGGAAGCAGGGGAGGCTTTAGGGGGGGCTACAAGCTGATTGACAGGTCGCTACCATGGCAACTGTCAATCAGGATAGAGGCGACTGGTATCTGTTGCTCTGTGTATATTTAACCAGCGCCGCTGAAAAAGCTGATGAGGAGTCGGCTGCTCAATTTTTCAGTAAGTACATTTTGTTGTAAGCCTGTTTGTCGCTAGCCAAATTAGCATCCGGCTAATATCACAGCTAACGTGAATTACAGATGCACCTTGCTAACCAAGCTAGCTATCTCCATCCTAGTGTCCATTTATTGTCAAGTCCGGTTCCAAAAAAACAAGATGGCGACGGCCAAACATACCGTCTGTGGACATGAGGCATATTTAATGTATTTTTTGGATTAAAATTATGTTTTTGAAGTCAGATGTAAGTTGATCTAAGTTGATTGGATGGTGGGTCCGTGTTAACCAGTGAAAAATCACAGTGACCTTATAAAACACATAAGCGTGTTTATGTGTGCGTGTGTGTACTTGTACTTCCTGCATAGTGAGGACCGGAACAAGATTTTAATAAGCATTTTGGCCATTTCTCACAAGTTTAATGGGCTGTATGAAGGCCAAGACTTGGTTTTAAACGTTAGCGGAGAATTAGGTTTAGGTCAGTGTTAGGGTCCAGGCAATGCATTATGTCAATGACGGTCCTCACAAAGATAGAAGTACAAGGGTGTGTGTGTGTGTGTATGTGTGTGAGTGTTAGGACAGTTGTTGTGCAGCAGGTGTTGGTTCTTGGTGATTTATTTAGAAACGACTGAAGCTCCCTGTCAGCAGTGAATGCACCACAAGGCAAAGACCAGAACCCAGAGTGGGACACCACAGACCCAAGAGTACTGATCGGACCTGAACGGAGACCCAGAAAGTCTTGGGGAGTTGTGGACAGAGACCCTCAGGAGAAAGCGAGGACATGGACAGACTCTGAATCTGTTGAAGGTAAAGACTTTAAATGTGTCTTCTGGTCTCTGGAGCGTTGTGTTAATCACACAGCTGAGACCTGACTAAACTTTATTTTATCGAAACAAATCCCTGAAACAAATCTCCATCTGAACGTTTCTTATTATGTTAATTGTTTTTCCTGTAAGTTAATTCATCGACTGAGCTGTTCATTACTTTTTGTTCTGTAACTTTATTTCCCGGTGTGAAGGAATACACGTGTCCACTAATCATTCGCAGTAAACTGATCATTGGAGGCTCCTTTTATAAATCCTGTCATCAGTCGTGTTTGTTAAACAGGTGAACAAACATTTTTAATCAGCTGACGTTTGACACGAAAGGCTTCACGAAACATTTAGAAACGTAACTGCTGCAGAACCACGTCTCTCTTTCTACAGCTGATCAGTAAACATCCTGGGAATCAGACATGTCGATGTGTTTACCTCTAAACGACGCTAACCCGCCTACAGGTGTGAACAGGTACTCTGTCTATAAATCTATAAGTTAAGGGGTTAAACAGCAGAGATGACAAAGAGACAACATGTAGTTCAGTATCTGTAGTCAGTGTCTGTCTGTGGCTGAATCTCTGGGGAGCAACTGGGTTTAAATTTAGACCTCATACCCCCCAAACACACACTGAGCGACTCCCATCTGTTAAAGAGGACTAAAGGTCAGCTGACTGGAAACCTGTCGTCATTTTAAAGGAACACTTCAGCTTCTTCTCTTCCTCACGTTCAGACTGATTTTACTGCAGCTTTTCTAAAAAAAGTGCCGTGAAAGTTTTGATGTTCTTGGGTGTTTTTTTGGGATGAAATTGTGGGAATAAGTGTAAACTGATATTTTTACCTTTAGAATTGTAGTTGAATCATTAAACAGCCCCTCCAGAACTCGGCAGTCCTGACCCGGACCCGGACCTTGACCCTGATCCGGACCCTGCATCTTTAAACCAGCTGATTCTGTCCTGCAGCTGAGCGGGATGCAGCAGCCTGTGTCTCGGCTGTTGTTGTTGTAGGTAAATATGAGATGTTGGTTTCACACACGTCTGCTGCGTCCTCTGAACAAGGAAGTCAGTTTGCTGATGTGTGACCAGAGATCTTTTGCTGTCACGGTGTTACGCCTGCTGCTCACTAGAAGACTTTCAGATCTATATTATAATCACACAGACGGTTCCGTCTGGTCTCAGGACCACTCTGCGTTCACACTAAAAGGTTTCAGAGTGGCGGTTCCGGGGACTTTGGATCTTACAGAATCTCGCATGATTAAACGTGACTTCAGACAGAAACAAACATGGAGGCAGTCTGTTGTGTGTGTGTTCTACCTTTACAATTAGAAATGAGGGAGCCTCTGATCCAGTCGGCGACCTTCAGGTTCTCTCTGTAAACCCGTCACACTACAGGATCATTTGGGCCGATAATCTGTTCCGACCAGCCTCGGATCGGGTACGTCCCACGATTGGAGGGCAAATCGGACCCAGAATCAGCCCAGTTGTCCTCTAGTGTGCGGCCAGCATGAGCTGTTGAATCAAAATGTGGGCCCTCAAGATTTGGGGCCTACTAAGGGCGGAAAGCAAAGACACATCAGCACGATGCAGGTTCCACATAGAGCTGTAAAATAATAGCAGTGGTACTAATACAAATATCAGTAAAAGTAATTAAAGTACTCATAACGATAATGATTAAAGGCTGGTGGTCATAGGCGGATCTTTAACCTCTTTAACCATGTGACTAACCAGTTCCATTTACCTGCAGCTTTTGTCTCGAGGCTCCCCACTGGCAGTGTGGCCAATGAATGATCAGCGCCACAGCAAGCCCCGCCTCCTGCCTGCTGCTGTTTGTTCTGCAGGGAAAAAAAACAGACAAACAGACGAGAGTCCAGGTTACATCAGAGAGAGACGGGTCAGCGCTGACGCTCCAAACCGTTTGTTCCTAAAACCATATAAATAAAGTTTACAAAGCGTTAGTTCCTCCAGCTGCAGGAGCTCAGAGCTCAGTGACGTTTTGTTCTGAAATCATTTCATTCATGAGCCTGACGGACTCTGACTCTGCAGGTAGGCCTCACGTCAACAGAGGATCAGTTACCAGAGGTGGACAAGTACATTTACTCAAGTACTAAGTTTGAGGTACTTTTGTTTCCGTGACACTTCCTCCTTCTGCTCCGTCAGAGGGAGATGTTGTACTTTTTACTTCACTACATTCATCTGACAGCTTCAGTTACTATTAGTTATAAATTAAACTCACAGTTTGACAGCAGACAGGATTATTAGACTGTGAAATTAAACAACTTTGATAGTTTAAGACATTTTTCATGTAAAAACATTTAACGGTTCACAACTGTGAAGATTTCCTGCTTTTCCTTTTTAATGTATTTGTAATAACGTTGAGCTTTGGAGGTGTCACTTCGGGCTCTGAGAAACTGTGACAGCATTTCTCACCATTTTCAACTGAGTAACTTTAATTATTATTAAAAGGACAATCTGTTTCTAATGAATAACATTGTTTAATGAAAAGGAAAGTTTGCGGTATTTTTTAAACTCTGTCATGTCAGCAGCTCCTGACACACACACAACTATCCTAACAGTACTGCTTTTAAAAACTTTTGTACTTTGACTCAAGTAGAAGTTTAAATTGAAGACTTCTACTGTTAGTGGAGTAATATTTAGCGAGGGTATCTGTACTTTCACCCAGGTACAGGATTTGTGTACTTTGCTGTCAGTCAGTTTAGATTCGTTTCAACAGATGAATCGTCTCGTCAGTAAAATATTAAAAGCAATGCGCGACTTAGTGACGCTGATTCCTGAAATATAACTTAGAGATGGACTCAGTGAAGCTAAAAGCTCCGTGTTAATATCAAACTGCAGCCGAACCAACACCAGCCAACGTCAGAGCCTTCGTGAAGCAGGATGTGTTTGTGTTGTGGAGTCTCGTGTTTCTTCTGTTTATTTATTTTGGTTGCACTTTATAAAGCTCCGGTCACATGGCGCTCACTCAGAATCAGATCCGCTCGAATTATCGACCTGAAAAACTTCACGTCGGTCATTTGTAAACTCAGTTTGTGGAGAAATGACAATAACTGGACTTCATTTAACGTTTATAGAAAGTCGTTTTGAATGTGTGGATCTGAGTGTTACGGTTGGTCATGTGACGCTGTGGTCCTGCACCAATGAGCTGGGCTCTCTGACTGCAGCGCTGTTGGTGTTATCTCCATCTGTACTCTACTGAAGCTGAAATGTGTCGCCTGTTAGGGCTCACTAATGATTATACAGCTGATGGGTCATGTGATGTTTGTGTGTGCAGGTTGTCTGATGGGTCCCGAAGAAGGTCGTCTCAGGTAACAGAGCAGGTGAGCCGGCGATGGCGGCGCTCTGACCGTCACCTGTAACGTGCTGCATTGTGCGCACGTCATGAACTTTGCTTTTGTTGTTTCAGCGAGTGAATGTTTGAGAAATGATTCATGTCAGGGAGAAAGTCGGCTGCTGATGAGGTCACTGATCGATTACAGGCAGACGGATTAACATGAAACATGATGAACACAGAGTGATCGGTTTAAAAGAGAACGATGATCAGCCGGTACTAATGGACCATAATGCACTTTAATCACATCAGATCATGTCTGCTAACCTGTCATTGGTCCGTACTGAGAAACAGAGAGAGAGAGAGATAACTGGAAACTGAGCTCGCTCGCTCGCATCACGGCTCTGATGCTCAAAAACATCAACAGCTGATGACAGTGCGTTCCAACTCGTCACATATGGAAGCCTTGGCGTCGCTGTTTAACGCCCTGGGAACCCTTTAGCGTTGTTTTTGCACGTGTAGGTCTCCGCGGTCAAGTTAGACTTTCAAAATAAAACAAGTGGTTAATGTTGTGAAACGATGCAGTTTGGTTAGGTTTAGCAAAAGGTCACGGTTAAAAAACTTAAAGGTTCAGTGTGTAATATTTCTGAGATGCAATAAAAGATCCATAACTATGTTTTCAGTACAAAAACCTTACAGAATGAACCGTTATGTTTTTATTAGTGCTGGGTCTGTAAATTAATTACAGTATGTGTTGGCCGACAGGTAACAGACAGGTGAGCGTGACACCTTCCCTCTTTGTGTCCTGGTGATCTCGGCCCGTCCCGGGTTCGGTCTGCCGATGGAGCCTCGGGCTGCCGCCGCGCGACACGCGGCGTTACCATGGAAACACTGCATCCACCTGACTCTGCTGCTGGTCCAGCTGAGTTTACCTGAAGGTACAAACACACACAAATAAGAGTCTGCTCACCTGCCAACTCCTTTACATGTTAGCATCAGGAGGCTAGAAGCTAGCTGCTTCAAAATAAACAACAAACATCTGACAGCAGAAAAACTAAATATACTTCTAAAGAAATAGAAAATAAAAACATATTATTTAACGTTACAAAAGGTAACATCAAAAGGCGTCGCTCTTTTTTTAATGATTCATTCAGGAGCTCGACTCTGACGATCCTACATTTCCCATAATGCAACTGGAAAGTGTCTTTCATTACAGCTAGGGCTGCAACTATTGATTAATGTCATTATGCCCATATGACTATGACTAAAGAGACTTCTGAACTCACATTTTCAGCTCAGGCTGACTCGTGAAACATCACGTGTTTTTGATATATTGACACGAGTTGAGAAGATTTCATGGAAACATCATCGGGATTATTTTCTCCTCTGGAGCCACAAAGCTCAGACGTTTTCTGATGTTTCCTCCTCTCTTCAGCCGGAGCTTCCTGTCGCATCCTGAGGTGTAACTCGGACTTTGTGGCTGCGACGCTGGACCTGGGAAGCAGCAGCGGGGGAGGAGGAGCAGGAGGAGGAGCGGCTCCCAGCAGGGAGGCGGTGAACGCCGGTTACTGCAGCGCCCTACGCTCCTACGCCATGTGCACTAAGAGGATGGCGCGGGCGTGTCGAGGCGACCTGGCGTACCACTCTGCGGTTCAGGGCATCGAAGACCTGCTGATCCAGCACCGCTGCCCCCGTGCGGGCCCCACCGCCCAGCCCCGCCCCCTGCCCCAGGGCACGCTGTCGGGAGAAGCCTGCCTCTACGAGAGGAGCTTCCTCAGCAGAGAGGGACGCAGGCCGGAGTACCTCCACTGCGGCGTGTTCGGAGACCCGCACGTTCGAACCTTCAACAACGAGTTCCAGACGTGTGCCGTGCAGGGGGCGTGGCCTCTCGTTGACAACGAGTACCTGTACATCCAGGGCACCGGATCGCCAACAAAGGGGGGGTCGCACGCCACGGCGCTGACTAAGGTGAGTCACAGAGACCTGCTCCACGTTCTGATGTTGATGATGATCTGGTATTTTATTTTAGAAAGTTACGCTGCAGATCGTTGAGCGTGACGTCGTCGTATTTAATTTATTGCCAGTGACAGAACGGATCAGGTGGGAATAAAGATTAACAGGTGAGGACACAGTTCACTAACAGCCGGATGTTCACCTCCACAGATCACCATCATCTTTAAGAACTGGCGTCAGTGCATTGACCAGCAGCTGTACCAGGCGGAGCTCGATAACGTTCCCGCTGCGTTCGCTGATGGCTCAGTGTCGAGCGGCGAGCGGAGAGGTCAACACAGCCTGACGGTCCGGTCTCAGAGTCCAGGCCGGCACGCGGAGATCCGGGCGGCTCACATCGGTACGTTGCTGGTGGTGCGTCAGAGCGGACGCTCGCTCGGCCTGTCGGTCCGCTCGCCGCGCAGCATCGTGGAGGCCTTCGGCCCCGAGCAGGACCTGCAGCTGTGCGTGTGGGGCTGCCCCACCTCCCAGAGACTCAACGTGCTCCACCCACCGGCGCCAGACTCCTCCCCTTCCTCCGCCGTCAGCCCCTGGGCTCACTGCGCTGCGCTGCTTCCCGCCCAAGACGTCTACTACCAGGCCTGCGTGTTCGACCTGATCGCCAGCGGAGATACGAACTCCAGCACGGCCGCCGTCAGCGCAGCGCAGGACGCACGAAACATGATCTCTGACACGCAGAGAGTTCACCTGCTGCCCGTCTCCTCCGCTGAGCAACACGGGACACGACTGGACCTGACGCTGCTGCTGCTCGGCATGCTGGGAACTGTAACCACAGCCTGAAGCGGCAGGAAGTCACTGCAGACCTCAGACCTGTTTGACAGTTGATGGATGTATGATAAGACCTGGAGACGGCGCCGCCGCTCAGCCTGGTTCCAGTTTTGCCCAGTGGCCACTCACGGGATTGCAGCTGCGGCTCAAAAAGCGTTTCCCCCGCAGGCCGCCATTTTAACAGCTATCCAACATGGCGTCCTGATGCGAGGTCATGTGGATGAAACAGACCCTACGGGGACTTTATACCCCCCCCCCCCCGCCCGCTCTGGTGTCACACAGCCAGACTGATCCTGGATCAGTGCTGAACATTATATAGACAGAAAATGAAACTGCTGCTGAAGAGAAGGAAACTGATCAAATGTTTAAGAATTTGAACAGAATTGAAAGGCTCTGCCGGCTGAAACCGGAGACGCTTCCTGCGTTTCCTGAAGCTTTAGAGCACAGAGTCAGTACTCTGGATAGTCCATCTCTGTATTCTATACATAAAAACGTTTTGCAACACTTTGAAGCTTTGTGTAAACTAATAATAAACGCTGACTGTAAACAGGAAGTCCAGGAGGGTTCAGGTCCAAATCCACAATTACAGTCCAGATGAGCCGTCATTAACAGCAATCTGAAAGAAAGGATTAAGAGACGGAGCACCGACAATCTGTTTGTAAATAAATGTTGAGGAGCTGCCTTCTTCTGGATTGTAGTGACTCGTTACATGAACCAGGACTCTCGCTCTGTTGGTATGTTTTGTATAAAAAACCATCAGCCGTGTTTCCATCTAATTCTCCAGCGAATTTTAGGCATTTAGCCATGGACCATGAAACTGGGGACCATGGACCTGGGGACCATGAACCTGGGGACCATGGACCTGAGGACCATGGAACTTAGGCCATGGAACTTAGGCCATGGACCTGGGGACCATGAACCTGGGCAACCAGGGGACCATGAACCTGGGGACCATGGACCTGGGGACCATGAACCTGGGGAACCAGGGGACCATGAACCTGGGGAACCAGGGGACCATGAACCTGGGGACCATGGACCTGGGGACCATGAACCTGGGGACCATGAACCTGAGGTCCATGGACCTGGGGACCATACAGAGAGGTCTTCAGGAGCTTCACTGGGCAAGTAGCTACCGGCCATGTTTCTGAGAATAATGTGAAAATCCAGGAAGATGCCGACAGCAGAAACAGCTGATCAGTCGCGAGGTCAGAACTGTTTCCAGCTTCCATCGAGTCTTTTTTTCCAAAAAGGCAAAAACAATTTTTCTAATGTTGCCGTTTCCATCAACTTTTTCTAATACCACACTTCAAAATGTGCATCAGTATCACAGACTGTATATAAGAAGTGGACGTAGTCATGGTAACGTCACCCGTTGGTTTGTGGACTGCCGTTTGGAAGCCTCGAGTTTGGCCAACAGGGCGTCGCCATGTTGAGCTAGCTTGCTTAGCTAGGTGCATCTGTAATTCACAACAGGCTTAAAACTAAATGTTCTCACCAGAGAAAGTGAACAGAAACGGATACGAGTTGCCTCTATCCTGATTGACAGGTTGCTATGGTAGCGACAATCCGCTTGTAGCCCCGCCCTAAAGCCTCCCCTGCTTCCTGGTCTCTGTTCCTCTAAATGGGACCATAATTTACTAAATGAACATCATGCTGTGTTGAAGAAGACTTGAAACTAGCGACTGAGACCAGAAACTCATCAGGAAAGTGTTTACTGAGGAAATAAATCAGCTGACAAGTAGAAACATTTTCTCACAGACTTCTATACAATCACACTTCTTTCTGGAGAGGACGCAGGTTTAAGTCGCCCCCTGCTGGCCGCTAGAGAGGACGCAGGTTTAAGTCGCCCCCTGCTGGCCGCTAGAGAGGACGCAGGTTTAAGTCGCCCCCTGCTGGCTGTTAGAGAGGACGCAGGTTTAAGTCGCCCCCTGCTGGCCGCTGGAGAGGACGCAGGTTTAAGTCGCCCCCTGCAGGCAGCTGGAGAGGACGCAGGTTTAAGGCGCCCCCTGCTGGCCGCTGGAGAGGACGCAGGTTTAAGTCGCCCCCTGCAGGCTGCTGGAGAGGACGCAGGTTTAAGGCGCCCCCTGCTGGCCGCTGGAGAGGACGCAGGTTTAAGTCGCCCCCTGCTGGCCGCTGGAGAGGACGCAGGTTTAAGTCGCCCCCTGCTGGCCGCTGGAGACGACGCAGGTTTAAGTCGCCCCCTGCTGGCTGCTAGAGAGGACGCAGGTTTAAGTCGCCCCCTGCTGGCCGCTAGAGAGGACGCAGGTTTAAGTCGCCCACTGCTGGCCGCTAGAGAGGACGCAGGTTTAAGTCGCCCCCTGCTGGCTGCTAGAGAGGACGCAGGTTTAAGTCGCCCCCTGCTGGCCGCTAGAGACGACGCATGTTTAAGTCGCCCCCTGCTGGCCGCTAGAGAGGACGTAGGTTTAAGTCGCCCCCTGTTGGCTGCTAGAGAGGACGTAGGTTTAAGTCGCCCCCTGCTGGCCGCTAGAGACGACGCATGTTTAAGTCGCCCCCTGCTGGCTGCTAGAGAGGACGTAGGTTTAAGTCGCCCCCTGCTGGCTGCTAGAGACGACGCAGGTTTAAGTCGCCCCCTGCTGGCTGCTAGAGAGGACGTAGGTTTAAGTCGCCCCCTGCTGGCCGCTAGAGAGGACGCAGGTTTAAGTCGCCCCCTGCTGGCCGCTAGAGACGACGCAGGTTTAAGTCGCCCCCTGCTGGCTGCTAGAGAGGACGCAGGTTTAAGTCGCCCCCTGCTGGCTGCTAGAGAGGACGCAGGTTTAAGTCGCCCCCTGCTGGCCGCTGGAGACGACGCAGGTTTAAGTCGCCCCCTGCTGGCAGCTAGAGAGGACGCAGGTTTAAGTCGCCCCCTGCTGGCCGCTAGAGAGGACGCGACCGGAAGCTTACCGCTTGATCAGCACACTTTGATGGAAACACGACTGTTGTCTGCAAACCTCCATCAGTATCTCGATGGACACAAACGATATAAATATGTTTTCTTGAAGTAAAAGTACAAGTATTAGAGTAAAACTACTTGTTGGGCAGAGGGTGGAGCAGCTTTAGAAACTGTTAGATTCACGTGTAGAATCATATTTTATAAACTGATCATGTGTTTTTTTAGCAACTAAAGTTGTCAGATGAAGTAAAATGTACAATATTTGTTTCTGAGAAGGAGTAGAAATAGAAAGTAGCATGAGAAGAAAATACTCAAGTGAAGTAGAAGTACCTCAAATGTTGTCAACTTTTTCCTTTTCCTTTGAATGAAAGGTGAATAAAACTGCCACCACTGTTTAAACCCTTCACATCACGTGTTTCTCTCTGAGGGAGGAGGATTCAGCTGACACCAGAGGTATTCTGGGTATTTGTGTCCTACCTGAATCAGGATGTCTCCGACGTGTTTAAAGCCATAAATCTGTTTTTGAAGAATTGTTGCACAACAGTTAAATCGTTTACAGTAAAATGATCAGCTGCTGTTAGTCACCGCCCTCTGGAAGTAGGCCTGACAGGAAGCAGGAGGTGGACAGGTGAGGGGGCGGAGCCTGACTCAGGTGTCAGTGGAAACCACACTGATGAGTCAGACAAGATGAAGAAGCGTTTCATGGACGCAGCGGGACCGGGATGCTTCGACTGGCCGATTTAAAATGCAGCCTTGTGTTGGTGATTAAACAGCTGCGTTATGTAACAGGTGTAACAGGTTTCTGGGCGACGAGGCGCCGCCACAGTGTGACTCACCGCCGTCAGCCGCACACGTGTATCTGTTATGATCACATTATGGTCAAAAACTAGCAAGTCAGCCAAGTCTCGCCGCCTGTCCCGCATCCTTTCAGCTCTTTTAGCTCAACGAGTCAAAACAAGTTAGATATTTTCTCTTCCTCTCTTCCTGCTCATCTTCTTCAGTTTCTGTTGTGATATCCACACTGAGAACACAGAGCTGGCGTCTTCCAAAGACCTCACACTGTACCTTACAAACCTGATGATGATAGCTCGCTGAAGAGTCGTGCTGATGACACAGATTCCAGTGTTACGTAACGCCATACCAAGCTGCAGCTGAGACGCCATCAAAGGAGGCTGATATCTTTAGATTTAAAAAAACTACATAATGTTGCTTTAATAATAATAATAATAACAATAATCATAATAATCACAATAATCATAATAGCTTTATTTGTGTGGCATTTTCAATACAGGTCAAGTGTTTTACAGCAGTGTAAACAGAGTTACACTCTGTCATAGAGGCGCCTCTTCTTCACAATCCTGACTGTTTTGTTACTAAATTAACTTTGCAGTTTTTTCCTTTTGTTGTAAAATAAACCTGAAGAGAAATCTTTTAATGAAAGCAGAGACTTGCTGAGCGGTCAGCTGTTCCTCCTGTTCATGCTGGAAATCCCTGTGTGAAAACGTCTGAAGTCGATATGAAGCTTCAGCGGTTTGAGAGAATGCAGATTATTAACACTGATCAGTGTTACGTTTCTCTCAGTGAGTCTTTAAAACCTGATTTTCGTTTTTCGAAGCTACTGGAAGTCTGTAACTAGAAACTGTAAAACATTTTATAAGAACTCAAACACAGACTAAACTGACTCAGTAGAACATTTTTTAAATGTAATTTTCTATGATGACTTCCCTATGAGCCCATCCAGGTGCCTGAACCGCCTTGAGTTCCTCGTGGATGACTTGGCTTCTCATCCTGTCTCTACAGAAGAAACCAGCGCCCCTCCTGGGAAAACTGATTTCGGCCGCTTGTACCTGTGATCTGGTTCTAAATACTTTTAAACATAATTTGTTTTCCTTGCTGAGGCAGGATGCAGAAGCTTTAATGAGTGTGGGTCTGTTGTTCCTCCGCCTGACTGCCCTCCTCAGCCCCACAGAGGAAAGCTAAGTTAAGGTAAAGGTACTTTATTGGTACATGTAGTGAAATTCGTTCTCGGCGTTTGACCCCCCCTTTAGGGAGAAGTGGACCAAAACCAGATCTGAGCCAGTGGCTCTGGTCAAACGGCACTGACCGGAGAACCTAACATGTTTTTGATGGTGGGGGAAACCGGAGCACTCGGAGGAAACCCACGCAGACACGGGGAGAACACGCCGGGACGACCGCGTCCTCGTGGTGGTGGACAGGTATTGATCCGATGTCCCTCTGTGACTCATGAAGCTGGATGTCTGGACACACCTGCAGCAGCCCGGGATGATCCGACATCAGAACGAGTGTTTCCCCGGCAGATCAGAGACGACAGGCGGCGCAGCGTGGATCAGAACACGTGCAGAAGACGGGGTCGTCCAGCACTGCTGTAGTTCTGTATCTGAAGCTGTCCTGTCCAGGTCTGTGTACTGGATGTCGATTCATCGAGAAAATAATTGGCAGATTAATCGACAATGAAAGAAATAGTCAGGTCATCGGGACAGCTTGCTCTGCAGTAAGTCATGTTTGGCGGTCTGGCCCTGACATCTCCCCGCCCATCCATGTGCGTACATGGAAAGCCCGAGGCAGAGAGCAGCAAAGACCCCCGGGATCCAGAACAGACCAGATCAATACAACAGAAAGGACCCGGCCTGAACGGTTACAGAGGAAGCAGCTTCTGGTTGAACAGCCAGCTGTCAGCTGACGTGCTGGAGTCCTGAGCAGAGCTGGACTTCGCTGCCTTCGCCTGCCAGGAGTGGTGTGGACTGCGTGGGCTTCAAGGACAGAACGGCGT